AATAATTCACTGAACCATAGGCATTTTACTAGTAAGAATATGAGAGGAAGGTTATTTTATGCATCGATTATGCAAGTGTTTGTGTGTGCATTACCTGGTTACTGATTTTGAAACCAACGTACCTAATAGTAGTAAACATACATTCAGAGCCTATTATAGATAGTATTGTATCTATTTAGATTTGTATACTTCACTGCAGTAGATTTGACAATGTTACTTACTGGTTTCGTAGTAATCATCATTAAGATCAACATAGGAGCAGGCATTACTGAGTAACAGTCCAAGTTGCCACACCTCATCTCATACCATCACATCAAGTAATAAGGCAATAAAATGGAAAACGAAGAAAGAAAGAAAACTCGGTCAAAAGAAGTAGAAGAGAGGAAGGAGAAAATGATGAGCATAATGTGTGTATACATCTGCGCCACTGACATAGCTTCTCAACCATATCATCACCTACAGTCTCCAACTACTTGTGGTTTCTTTTGTCCCGTGGATCCCAATCACCTAGTCTGCATCGTCCTACATGGCTCAAACGAACAATCAACCACTTTATCCATTCATGCCATGTTTTACTCTAGCCAGCCCGAGCCTTTTTCTAGACTGAACCTACTTCGGCCAATATTCTGCGACGAGATAGACGGCAGTTAGGCATACGTAACACATATCCCAGTCATCTCAGTCGATGAAGGTTCACAATCACATCAACGGTCTTACCTCTCCAGCCTGAAACTCTACGTCTGACTTTTGCATTACTCACGTATTGACACCACTAAACACCTATGTTACGAAGGCATCGGTGGTCAAACACTTGAAGCCTTCTCATGTCTTCTACCTTTAATGACCACTTTTCACAGTCATACAGTAGAACAGAGTGGACTGCACTCAGCATAGTACATTCGGAAGTGTACATCTTTTCTGTCGGTAAGAAATGGCAGTTCATGGGAATCGGATAGAAATCCACTCAACACCCTTATGCACATTCGTGAAGTAGTCAATAAGCTACACACCTATTTCGTATCAAATCTAATGATATTACTACCTGGCTACCGAAACCGTGTAATTCATCTCCCTACGCCAATAAGACACACCTCCCAACTGATAAGACGTTGAGTAAAGTAAGAGATTTGTATCAATAATTTGTTCATGTCTCAAGTAGATAGAGAGTGCTAGGTAGGTAACTAGGCTCTGGTATAATGCCATAATTATCCAGTTCCTGTGACTTCAAAACAACAGCTATGGGGAATCAATAAATTGAGTCAGAATTTATTGCCTTATTTGTAGGGAACAGGTAAAAGTTAAAACAAAAGCGAGACTTTATTTCAATTTTAGCTAGCTAGCTAGCTAGCCAGCTTTTCTACTCTCAGCACATATGTAAGGTGGTGAGCTCCTGACTAGCTGGTTTCAAGTCGATTTCAATGAGTATCAACCAATAAAAGGTATTGGATAGAAAAGAGATTCACAACAACTTATTGGATGAATGCTTATCAGTTATATCATCTGAAATCTTCAATCATGCTTCCCCCTGGTGTTTTGTGAATACTATTCAGAAATCCTACCGTCCTATTATACAAACATATAATTGTTTTCATCACAACATCATAAACTTCTTTTGAGTCAAACTTTGCGCTCAATGCTGCATATTTTTATTATGCTATAAAGATCTTTCGGAAACATGATTGAAGGGATAGTTTTCATGCGCTGTATAGTGGGACACATTGTTGCTGAGTTTATTCTATTCTTAATAAAAATTTTGGTATGTTATCTGAAAAATAGGTAGTATAATTTAGGAAGCATTCCATAACGTTGCGAAATAACCAACAACTATCGACAGCTTAAGTGAGGGGGGGGGGGTCAAGGGTCTGTCTGTCTTTCTCTCTCTCTCTACCACACACATACATATACACACTGACGTTACAGTACTGCACTTTGGCGTAGACAAACTATGAAGGAATATTTTGAATAAAATAGGTGAGGAACACGTCTCAAACCTTCTTATACTTCCTGTAGAGTTAACAGAAGATTATATGTCTTCTGTATGTACGTTCTTATCACTTGTTGGTCAGAAAGATGATTACCCACCTGAGAAGTCAAAGATGAACAGTGTTCCCTTCAGATGCACATCCATAACAGTTCTAAGTCAAATAAATGAAAGGATTATGTCTGATAAGTAGGACTCACTAAGAAAACTTCACTGTGAATAAGTTCGTTACAATCGATAGGATGTTTTGTGGCTTACTACAATTGTCACTCATAAAGTTGTTTACTTATTAAAGGGGGAGGGATAAGATGGTTTAATGATGTTTCATCAGATAAACTTTAGCTTGAAAACGACTCAACATCTAACAAAATAAATGTAACCGTTGAAAACTGTCTAAGCCTTTTATTTATCGAATGTATATTACACAATGAGACAATTGGTAAATAGTTGAATACTTATATTGTTCCTGTTGATAATAGATGACACTATCACTTTCATAAATGATTAGTTTAGACTGACAATTAAAAGTGATGTTACACAATGATGTCGAAACATTTGTGAACAGTAAATGACATAGGCTGTTGAAGTGTAGATCAGTCGTCTGTCTACTCACCTAACTGATCATTTATCTAAACAGTTAAGGCAAACTGAAGTAAAACAAAAACTCACTGGAATTCTATTACATAATATCAGGTGAATTATTGACACTACTTTAGGCTTTTTTGATCTTCAGCAGACAAATTGAATAAGAAAATGCTTAGGATCATAAAAGTGTATGGGATTAGAATTTGTTAACTGTAAGCTTTTCCACTTTCCTATTTACCTCTTCATTATCCCTATTCTATCGTTATGTCATTTCCTTTTAAACTTTTTCACTGAATAGACAAATATTTTATCTCCACCACTAATAACATTGGTATTAATCAGCTGGTACACTAACCCTCTCTAGTGTTACACACTGTTATCAATCGTCTAAATTTCCATTGTTATTTTGACTATCTGATTAAGATAGTAGCCGTGGTTTAGCAGACTTATATTATTGATACTGAGTTGGATCTGGTAGCTTCGGGTTGCAAAACCCGATGGTTGGTAGTTCGCACCCACCGTCGCCACGTAACTTTTCATGTCATCTTCAATCATCACTCAGTTATTTCTTTATTTATTATTACTTGTCCCTTGGATTCCTAGTGGGACATAGGGCTTCAGTAGCGTGTCTCTATTTCACACTGTTCTCTCCAATCTTTTGAACTTCGCCCCATTATTGCCAATAAGCTTTCATTTCTTCCTCACACCATCTTCTCGTTTCTTATTCGGCTTCCACTCAAGGGCCTGGTGCGTGATATCCCCAAATCGTCTTCTCGGTGTATGTCCAATCCAATCCACCTCCACTTTCTTCTCCATACTTGTTGGGCGATGGGTTCTTGGTTGGTTCATTGCCAGAGTTCCTTGTTGCTTATTCTTCCTGGGCATCTGATGTGATCTTCAGTATCGAGTGAGGGTAGGCGGCAGCTGGCTGATGTATGTTCGTAGTTTGTTGGAAATGCTTTTTGTGACGCGCCGAGTCTTTCAACCATCCTATCGAAGCACTGACTTACTTGACCTAATTAGTGTTGAAAATCCGGATCTTGTTCTTCATGCTGAGTGCAGTGCAGTAGATCTGCACACTGATTTCAGGTTAATGAACGCCTTTCTTGCTGTCTTTCCGATCCTGACTTTGACGTCCTCATCTTTGTCGCCTGTATTTGAAACGATGCTGTCTAGGTAGGTGAAAGAGACAAACAGTGTATGCCCATCCTCTCCGTCCTCACAGTTTGTTAAATGATCCAGTCCAGTCCAGTCGACCAGAATCAGGAACATCATCGGTGATAGTGGGCGCAACCTTGTCTTACTCCTTCCTGTCTTCACTTCACTTGAAAGGGATCACTGAGCTTTCCATTGTGAATCACTTGGCATGTAGCATCCTCATATAGCATATAGCTGCTGTTAAATGACATTGATAAAGGTTTGTGGCACTAAAAACCGCAGTGTTGAAGTAGCTGCCTGCCAAATTACTTCTCGGTCGACGCTATCCATCATCCAGAACAAACTGCTTATAAATTTTTGAGCCAGTCTATCCAACACACCTATTGTTCGAGGATTAATGTTGTGAATACACCGGCTGACATAAGATTATTATCACTGTCTTGCGATTTGAACCTATGGCTTATACGTTGAAAGTTCAATAAAGGAACCATTAGTTGAATAGAATCTATGAAAAAATCATATTTCTAGAATTCACAATTATTCAGAGGATAAGTAAAATGAAATAGAGATACATTATTACTGGGAATATATTCTTCTGAGTACATTGCCTTTGTCTCTATTGTATTTTACTGAAATTGCGATTTGGTTCATTGCTTCGACTATCATTGCATCTACCGAGATTTTAGAAAGTCAAGTCTTGTCCCTGTGTTTCCAATAGCCTGAGTGTTATCGCTGATTTTTGCAACATTATCATCAGCGTGACTGTGAGTAAAATTAGTTATCCTGGGCCATAATAATTTTACATTGTAATCCCTTACACTTACAACTATAGCAGTGTGCTGACTACTCATATATCAGTTATGCAGGTATGGTTCGATGACTTAAGGAGATGACTATCAACCATTGCGCCATGAGTTCGAATCCTACTCTACCAACCGAGGTTTAAGCAGTCGGGTAATATCACTAGCCCTCACAAAATAGCCACTCCAGTTTAACAGTAATGTTGCATAGTGGTTAAAAGGGGGATCCAAGATACACGTTTCGTTTTGTTCGGGACTCATCAATCGGATGTACCTGTTCTCTGGTTGGTGATGTTATTCACACAAAGACTGCAACTCAAAACCGATCGCTTCAAACACTAGAGAGTTATCCACTCCGCCTCTGGGTCAGTATAACCACTCCTTGTGAATACATCTTTCACTTTCCAACACTTTAGTATATTTATCGAAAAGAAATTTTCCTTTTTTTTATCATTTCATATCTATTTGAAATTCAGTGCAGCTTAGATGGTCAATTGAAACAATGGCGAATGAATCATGATGATATTGTATCAGCTTGGAAAAACCCGTTAACCAGTGTTCTCATGAAATGGGCTCCGCATTGTATGGATCATCATCCTTCTTCAAATGAATTTCTTATTGGAGGTGCAGAATCCTGTCTATTGTATTCTTCAGCAAAACTTGATGTACCATTACGTGAATGGAGTTGGGGTCAAGAACCAGTGCATACTGCTAAATTCAATCCAGTTGAACATAATATTGCCTGTGCACTAACTAAAGATAATTCACTGATGCTAATCGATTGTCGACAAGATCAACCTATTCGTAAGGTAATCTTTAATTAGTTCTACCTTCTTGTTGTATTGTATATAACTGAATAATTTATCACTGAATGTAGGATTGAAATGGATAGTCGTCAGGTTACACCAGTTCACTGCTTTTCAACCGGTTAACCTATTAAGCATTCATTCAATTGTTGTATGATTGTCAACAGTTGAAAGGAAATTAGTCTAGTTCCCTGACACTAGTTAGGTGGAATAGGAAACCTGTAACCCTGAAATTGGTTGGTGGTTTCAATTCTCTCATGAATCGAGTTTTTCCCTGACTTCAGCCATATTCATCAAAGTTTGCGTAGAAAATCTTATCTGTTGCATCTGCGTAGCTACTATTGGATACAAAAGGTCAATTTAGCATTTAACAACAGGTTTTTGAACACATGTCTTTGTAACAATGCTTGCGTTTGGTGGAATCATCGTGTGAGTAGTGTCTAGGTTAGCCGAATGGTACTAGGCAAGACAAGTAAGCTGATTGATGTGGTTGCGACCGTTAGTCGACTTGGCTTGAAGATGTACTGTGTACACCTCCTACATCTACTTGCAATGCTAGGGGAGAGTAGATTAGGTTTGAAGGGGGTTCAGGGTGGTCAGACGAAGGCATGGCACCAGTCCATAAAGTCTCTCACTTTTGGACTGAACCTCGTTAGGAGATGTAGACTGCCTGGTTGTGTAATCCCCGAGACGATAAGAATCAGTAGTTGAGAACTCTTGATGATATGGCCAGAATTCAGTGACAGTGGGGCGGATGTTCTCCAAAGCTTAGACTGTTGCGGTTTTATAAACTTCGTCTGTTTCCAGGTCAACTTAGTGTCACCTACCACTTTCCGATTTGGTACTCCATGGATGTCATGGAGTGCCTGGCTTGGGTTATCCCGCTAAGGCCAGCCGCATCTCACACTAATAACAACCCCCTCTATCACCTCGGCCTGCGTGTTGGTAGCAAACTGCTGACCAGGTTCAGAAATTAATCGGCTACTGCTTCTGAAAACCCACTCCCACCATGAAAGGGGGATTTCGAAGACTACAGCCAGTGCATTCGTCAGGTTGAACCTACAACCCATACCAGAGATGTAGGAACGCACGTTGACCAACTCGATCCTTCCCGGAGGAGGTGACTGGGATTTAGCCCTACCTTCGTCATTACTTTGGATTCGTTTGCACATCCTCCCGTCGCCCGGCGAAGCACTTTACACATGCGCCCGTGAAAACAGTCTAGGTACCCCAGACTATTTATAAACGTCTGGGTAGCTCCACCATTATCTATGCTAAGTATATTTCTTCACTTCCAAGTCTTAGGGCTGGATAGAAGGAAGGTGAGTTGGTTCGTGGGTTGATATCTGCTTATCATCTGGGACCACGAAAAGGTTCACCGTCCCGCAACTAAACTCAAAATACCATATCCGTCAGGATCAACAGCAACCATCTATCCCACCAACAACGAATAAATATGTGCCTTTCGGTCAGGCATTCGGCTGGCAGTTCAAAATACCTATGTGAATAACTAAATGACGAGGCACTTTGCTGCACTCAAAGAATCATAGTTACGCCTACCAAGTGTTTTAAAAGGTATAATTCATACTTGGGGGATTTTTCAGGTTTATTTGGTTACTTAAAATACTTTTATGTGGGGATATTCAATAGCCTAGGAACTAATTACCACGTCTAGATTGACGGCGTGTCGACACATTTATAGTTTTATACAGTTGGTTATGATTCCTGACTTCCCGATATGAAGTTGCAGACAACATATTTCGTACATTCCATTCATCTTCTTTAGGAATACTAAATTACGTAGTTTTGGTATTATTTCTCCGCACTCCAACCCCGCAGCCTACCGCGCAATCTGTTTGCCCTGACGTAGTGCTAATCTCCTAGACCACCTGGTGCCATTTTCAGTTCCGGAGAAGGATTCATGACGTGTGTGTTTGTGGTGTGACGTTGACTGACTAGGAAGCCATGACTGTTCTTCCTCAAACCGACTAAAATTAGTTCGAGAAATCGACTGGTTGTTTTGTTATTTGACCTTCTAAGATTGTCCGCTTTACGAAAGCAGTTGTCGAAATAGAAGTGACGATTAGGTTTTTCGAGACTAATCTGTCTTATGGTTAGGTTTCAAGCACTTGTTCGTCTGGTGGAATATGCTGTAAGTGAGAGTTTGGTAGCATAGTAGTTGTGTTTAAAGTGAATTTTTGCTGAATTGGGAAGTGTTTGAAAGTCGATTATCTGGATGATGGCATTGTAACTTTCTTATGACTTGCAATGTGATGTTTAAAATTTGTTTAAACGCATCGATGAATGTACAATTTTACCACACAGGCAATCCAAGCCTTCCTTCGTCATAAAGCAACCTGAAGGTAGATATTTATTTCGCCCACTAATATTAGTTCCTATCAGTCTATGTAAACTATTAGCGACCGTCAACTTTTTATGAAACAGCATATTGAATTCTCAGGTTATTCTTTGTGTTATTGTGTACTTAGAGAAGATACTATTCGATCAGCGGTCGTATGGATTAATTGACCGATTGATTGACTGACTGACTGATTCCAAGTTAGTAGTCATATTCAGATGGTGCAAACATTCCCAGTAATTATCAAACCAAGGCGTAGATAGGCTCCCGAAATAGGATGGTCACTTTGTAAATGATTTCTGTGTATCAGTCTATATGGTTTCTAGATACTCAGGCTGCTCATTTGTAGTATACTTCTCTAGTTCATGGCACTTTCTTGGCGGAGATCACACCTTGTCATTTTGGCTGGCAGGGAGCTTCCGATGGATGCCTAGCTGTCACCACAGTAGAGCAGTTAAGAAGCTCCTCAACAGTAGGAAATCTCAGTCTAGGCTCTCAATTCTGGATCTCGAGAATGGTTTTTTTGTTCGATTTTACTCCATCGGTGACTGCAGGAGCTTCTTTGAAAGTAGTTATTGTCTATTTGAAAGTTCCTCCTTCTGTTACTTTTGAGCTGGTTTGATGGGGCGACGGAGCTACCAAAAAGATTGATGAACCTTTTGCGATTCCCCGTTTTGTAGGCGCCTGTAGGCAGGCATTACATGTTACTCAAAAAGTAGTTCGAAGGATGAAGCATTTAGATAATGAGAGAATAAGAGTAGAAAGCAATTATGGATAACAAATATTAACCGTAAATGTATGGAGAGTGTATGGTTCATACTGTAAACACTGCCGTCGAGTGGTAGGGGCATGGATGTGTGAACCTTCAGTTGCTACTGGCGTATGCTGGTAGCAATTGGTATGTGCTCATTTACTTGTCAAGCATTCGTTTAGAAGAGTTGGCTGAAATGACTGCTGCTACTTCTTTTGATAGGGCGTTCCACAACGCATACACTCTATGACAGAAGTTGGATCTGACTCTCATCTTAGTACTCTTCTGAGATATGCTTCAAAACTATAATATGGACATAGCTTCCCTGGTTTTGAGGTTGGATGTATTGATGGTAATTTATCCTCTAAATGTTTCACGCACCTTATCCTAAGAAGTCAATTACTCATCGTTAAAGTTGTGAATAAAACACTCATGCCCCAAAGGTGTGTTGTCTGTTTCTCAGGTTAAAATGGAGCTTAAACTGAACTCGCTTTCCTGGAATCCAATGGAACCATTTATTTTCACTGCTGCATCAGAAGACTACAACGTTTATACATTTGATAATCGCTATTTCAAGTTTCCGCGCAGAGTCCATCGAGGACACGTCAACGCTGTGCTTAGCGTAGACTACTCACCTACAGGAAGAGAGTTTGTGACTGGAAGCTACGATTCGACGGTAAGAAATTTTCTCTTACTTTTCTACCCGACAGATTCGACTTTGGCCTTGCGATTCAACAGAGTCATTCGACGTTTATCATACTAGACGAATGAAACGTGTGCTTGATGTCAAGTTTACTCTGGATGCAAAGTACGTCTTGTCATCATCATCAGACCAAAATGTGCGTCTTTGGAAAGCCCATGCAAACGAAATAATCGGACCGGTAATATCTGGTTACTTCCTAACTTTTTATCTGCTTAGATTCAACCAAGGCAGAAGGCATCTCTTCAAACGTCTGGATCTCTGCGTGAGAAGTTTAAGGATCATCCAGAAATTCGGAAAATTTTGAAACATCGCCACCTACCGAAGTCAATTTTTGCAGCCAACAAAGAGCATGCAGTAATTCGGGCTAAGGAACGGCGCAAGGAGAGAAATACTCGTCTGTTTAATAAAAATGATCTTCCATTTATTCCTGAGAAAGAAAAGCATGTAGTTGCACAATATAAGTGATTTTTCATAAATGTTTGTTTTAATTTCTCACCACAATGTCAACCATTACTGGCGCTCGAAACGAAATATTTTGCGAATGTTCAAAACGTTTGTTTTCATGTGGTCTATTATTGGATATCTAGCTATTTCCATTGTATGAAAAGTTGGGGAATAATACGTATAAGACAAGCGTTATAAGAGCAGATTTCATTTGTATTATGCCAATCAAATTCAGATCAAATTATTAATGAACGATGCAAAAGCGACGTAAAAGTAACAGTAAAAGAAAACCTATCAGTGAGAACTCAGATGAGAAAATCAGTGAAGTCTACTGTGTCTGTAGATCATCAGATATTGATCGTTTCATGATGTGAGTTTTTCTTTTACCTATAAACATGTGTGTAGAGCTTGTGATCAATGTGAAGAGTGGTATCACGGAGACTGCATCAATGTCACTCCAAAACAAGCTGAACAAATAAAAACATTTTACTGTCCTCAGTGTCGATGTAAGTACAGATCAGTTTCGATTTACTCTAGTAGGCAAAAATCCATCCCTTGAGATCGAGTATAAGAACACTAGAAGTCAAAAGCCTAAACAGTCGCGTCAGGGTTCCAGTCCTAACAGTAGTTCAAACACCTATGTAGATCAGCCCTCTCCAGCTAAACCATCTAAAGGAAAACGAGGGTCTCCAGACGCTTTGATTAACAATCAAGGTAAGCAGTGTCGGCTAGCATCTTATTTCTATCGTAGAAGTTGGTCCTCGCAAAACTCCAGTCGACCGTTCATCACAGTTATCAAGTAGAGACTTACGAAAGTTCAATTCATCCGGCCTGAATATATCACCGGCGCTAAGTGCATCATCTGGCCTACCTGAGCCCCTCTCTTCGGGTCCTTATAACCGTGGTTACTGGGCGCCTGAAGAGCAGTCTGAACCTGCAGATGATCACAACCCAATGCCACGCTCCGTACCAAATAAAAAACGGTCTGGTTCTCCACGTCTGCGTCCATGTGGGCAATGTGCAGGATGCAGCGTAAAGGAGGATTGTGGGAAATGCGAATACTGTCGGGATAGACGAAAGTTTGGTGGACCCAATAAGATGCGTCAGAAGTGTCGGTTAAGACAGTGTGCCGGTATGAATGCGTCACGTAGTAGAAACCCATCTAATTCCTCTCAAGGGATTGGTGCTCGACGTCGTAAACAGCCACCAGTCCAAACTGCTCCCGCGGATTCATCACCAGCCCACATGCAGTCGTATACAGATTTTGACGATGAACAGTTTGAAGTCCCATTCGATTTTTCTCCAAGACTATATTCAGATACTGTCACACAACCATTTCTTTCTCATTCCACGAGTTCAGCTCCTATGGGTAGCAAGATGCGTCGAGGTGACCATCGAATCCCGACTGTTCCCAGCGATATTGACGGAATAACCTCGCGGCATTTCGGACGATTTGGTCATGATGGTAGGTACTAGATATTTATTTTTCACTCATTATGTCTCATTTATTGTAATCTCACTTCAATAATCAGTTTCTGACCCTTATTAAGGTTTCAAGCAAATAGATTGATAAACTTTCTAAAACGCTGTTTGAGTTAATAGTCCCAACATAGCATCCGCGTCCAAAACTCCATGTTTTCTTTCGATGTTAAAAGATTTTGCGTGCAGTAGTGCTTTTGGCGATGACTGGATGTTACCTGAAGATGCTAAACGTAAACAGATGGGTCACGATGATGACTTTATTGGCTGTGCAGGTAAGAACTTATTGGTCACCTCATGTGTTCTAGTAGAAAATAGAGGTAGTCGACAAAAGTCACTAAACACATCACCCTTTGGCAGCAGCTTTACCATATCGAGGATGAAAAGAGTAGATGGTGTACACGAAGAAACTAATCTTAGACTGTTTACCTCTGAGTATCGGTACATTCATCAATCGCTGTCCAATGATGTCGATACCTCTAAATCCTGTTCAGCTGTACAGAAATCCACTCCGTCTCATTACTTACATTCTGTTAGATGCATCGGGTGTCTTAAGGAAGATTGTGGAACGTGTGATTGTTTGCATGAAACACAGCTTGATTTTTTCGATCGCGTTAGCAACTTATTCGGAGATTGTGGTTCGGAGAATAAAAAAACTGCAAAGTGTTCACATCCTGACAAGCATAATATTGGCTTTGATCTTATCTCAAACAACTGTTTTCATGGATGTGAGGGAGTATGTCCAGATGAAATAGCTCGGAGACGCCTTGAGCGACAAAAGTTGATTGCTTCCTCATGCACACACGGTTGCAGGTGCTCTGGATGCCGAAAAGCAGATTGTGGAGAATGCATTTCTTGCCGTGACAAACCCAAATTTGATGGTCTTGGTATTTTACGGAAAAAATTTATTCATAGACTATGCACTCGTTTGCATCAAAAATCAGTATCTCAGTGTCAGAAACCATTCAAGGAGCTGTTAGTCAGGCAAAACATATCTGATTTATCTGAAGGCATAGCTGATTCAAAGTCTACCCTTCCAAACCATTCTGTCGGTTTAAATAATTACTCAGCGGATGCCTTTTCTCTTAGCGGCAGTCTTACCAAGCTTCAGAATTCCGTTGTTAGCTCTCATAATGAGTTGTTCTCCAGAAAATCTCGAACGAATCAAAGGTTTGCATTCAAAAGAATAAAATCTAGTGACAAGCATCGTGATTTAACTCCCAACTCAAGTTGTGAAAGTCTAATATCAGGTATTCAGACTCAGAAATCATATTGCAAGGTGTCATCTGTAGCCAAAAGTTGCGATGATACCGCTAGGATGTCTTCATCTCCGAAAATTCAAACATCTGATGTCGAGCCACACGAAGATAGTGACCTTTATGGTAGGTCCTGTGGCAGTATAACTTCAATTTTGCCTTCTCATTCCGTTTTAATCTACTGTTATTTGTGTCCAGTTCTTAGTATTTCTTCTGTCATGTACCCAAAGTGAGTTTTTTTATTACTGATATTTAGGTTTCATGAAATGAAAATGGCTTTGTATGATGCAAATTAGGACTAATGCAATACTACCTGGTGCAGATTTATCTATTAGACTATGAGCCACACTTGTAGTGCGAGGAGTTATGATGTTACCCAGTCACTTGGGTCGAAGTTGGTGAAGCAGGGTCCGCACCTGGAACCTACTGCTTTAAAGTAGAGTCCCTAAACCAATGAGCCACATGTCAGTGGAACGCATGCAGGCAGGTCAACGATATTAAGTTTGAAACACGATCACCAATCCCTTGTGTTAGGTTGTATATTCAGTCAACTCTTGTCCAACTTTTTTGCATCCAACTATTTCATAACTTGAAGCAACAATATAGTTTCCTTGACCGGATTGTGTTTGTAGGTAGCAATACTTTATTCAGGTTGTTCTATCCTGACATATTTGGAAAACTGCTGAGACTTTCTAGCAGACAGGCTATGGAAATACATCATAAACCGTTTCGCAGTCTTTCTCTAGCTTCATTATAAGTTTCTATCCATATCTAGGTTCACTTTGACGCCAGAATTATGCAGATGGTCAAAATACTTCTAACCGTTATAATTGTCTCCAATGTGACCGAGTTGCTACCCTTTTTGTTGTCCGGTGTCTAACTAATGGACTAGAACAACCTTCAAACACGGTCATGCATATGTCGTTCAGATCGTCAGTCTATACCAAACTCGAGTGTAGGAATGTTTGTCAGTATCTGATACTCTTCTCATGTATTGCGATGATGGCTTTTGATACTTGACCAAGGTATTATGACAGTGCATCTTACTGAACATGTTTATAGAAATTATATCACATTACTTGAAACCTTTATACAACATCTGCAGTTTTATTATAGCCTACACTAAATCATCATAGGTGACTGTATGCTGCTTCACTCGTTCCAAATATTCACCAGATGATGCTTCGGGGACTGGTCTACAGTAATGCGTTGACCCACTTCACTTGCCTAAGAAGTTGCATCAGCCCGTAAGGACTGTTTGCTGATGAGGTCTCAACTGGAGGGTACTGAAGACCAGTTTGGCATTTACCAACTTAAGTCATCTTTGGCACCGACGACATACCCAGTTACCTATCAAAGGGCGAGAATACTGTGCAGCGGTCCACTCTAGCCTATTCTGTTGTGAGACAGTTGTTGAAACTAAAGGATACGAAGAAATTACAAGTTTTTGAATGTCTTCAAAACATGGCTTGGATGTGCTGGAATCACTGCGTGAGCAATGTTGAGGTCAAGGAAAAGTACTAGGCAAGGAAAGCAAGTTGATTGACGAGGTTATGAACTTTAGTCAACTGAGATGACTTGGACATGTACTACTGATGCTGAGCCATCACCTACCTCAATGTACGAAACTATGCTAGGGTAATCTGGATTAGGTTGGAAGAAAGTTCATGCTGGTAAGATCATGTGGTAGCCGTCGATGAAGTCTGTGACTGCTGGTCTGAGTCGTATAGGGGAGATATAGACTTTCTTGTTGGGGTCTACGAAACGAAAGGTATCAGTGGTTGGGGACTCTTGCTGACATAGGTGAGTATCAGTCACACTGGCACAGATGTATTCATACCTTGACAACTAAATCTTGAATATTTCCACTAACCTCTATCTTCAGATTGTTAATTCTCTCCCACTGCTTTGTATACCTTGATATCACTTATTCTATTCACCTGTTCTTTGTATACTACTACTACTGTGAAGTATGGCAACTTGAATCAACAGACTTGTTTTCTAGGTTCCACGTTGATCTTATCTCTATCTTCCTGCACTACAAAAGCGGTGGTGAATGAACATCTGGAGCCTCGTGATTTCTTCCGCCTTTAATCATTGTGTTTTGCAGCCATGTAGTAGGATAACGCGAACTACAGCGCAGTGTACTTGGCCCATTTGGCAGTCAGTCAGATATTAACCACTTCACTCCGTATTGTTAGTCAAGACACCAAGACAGAACAGTCATAGAGCATCGATTTGCATCCAGGTGCTGGTGAGAAACGCATCATAGACATTCTTAATCGAATCGCCAATCAAGGTGTCCCGACAACTTTTCATCTTATCAGCGTCTTCATCTAACAGAACTAGGTTACATAAGTATTTTAGGTCTACTGAAGAGTCATCATCTGTCACAAGATCAATTCCTATCAATTCATACAGGGAGAGACATGGACTCCATAAACATCTACGAAAAGGCTAAATAAAAGTGCAGAGAGTAAATATTTCTGACAGATACTGACACAACTCGATGTACACAGCTCACCAGATACCTACCTCACCATAGGTTCCAACTCATCCACCAGTAGTAGTATTTGAATATATGGCATTTAGTAGAATTACACTTCTCAGTGAGATACATACATTGATTAACGACCTGTCTGTCGACACAGTCGAATGCCGCCTTCATACCAAGAAATAGTGCTAATGCTGGGCACCGGTATGTGTGCCTGTTCCAAATCCTGGCAGAGGATGAATATCTGGTAGATTCCCTCATGACCAAGTCTGAAACCTGCCTAGTTCTCTCCAGTTTGTTGTTCCTGAGCCTCATTTCAGTTTCTAGTGATTTTATGACCCTGAACATTGTGTTCGGTAGTTCGATTCCTTTGCAATTATCATCAGAGGACTACTGTCTCCTCTTCAAAACTGGGACACTGAGCGATAGAAATCAGTCAGACGGGATCATATCAGGTTCTCATGCGCCAGCTGACACTTCAGTCAATCTTTCTAGTATTCTATTGACCAAAATCCTTACACATATGTCTGGTATTGGTCTGTCGACACCTACTGCATTTCCTCGTTTCAAGTTGCTTACAGTCTTATTAACTTCTGCGAGACGTTGAGAGCCCATAATCTCAATATCACATCTCGGATGTGACAATAGTGGGTAACCAGAGACTAGTTGCAGGCCATTTAAACTGTCTCTCGATTGACGGTTGCTACCCTGACATGTTGATCACGGTTGTATATATATCACCAAAACCCAACGAGCTACCTTGGCTGAAACATTTCTCCTGACGTCCTACCATACCAGTAAAGTCTTTTGGATTATGCTAAAACGAAGAGCAATTACCATTATAGTGTAAGTTGCTGCGTCATGATGGGGTCCGATGGTGGATTCCTACTGCTGGCTGAATGAGGTGTGCAAGCAGTAAGGTGTTCCACTTAGGAAACCAGAACTGCCACACCGATGTTGCTGTTGCAAAAGCATAAGGAGAGATACTGTCTCACATGTCATACGCTGACATCAAACCGATGATGGACACAGATTGTTCACAGTGCCATAAGCCATCGTTGGATAGGATCAGTAGATGATTTCTACTTTTCACCGAGTACCAGCTTGAGCTCCAATCATGTATTAGCACTGGCTCGTGTATGTCTGTGTCTTACTAGTCTGAAGAAACAAAGCAGTTATTGTTAGGTCTGTGCATGCTCGATCGGAAGATGAAAACTTGATGTACGTAAATGGGTA